ACGTATGGTGACCCGATTAATCGTCTCGAAAGCTTCATTTTTTAAATATTCATCCTGTTATGTACTCGTTGGGTAGATACTTCCGAGTGTTTTCTTGCGAGACTCCAAATAGCCCCTCCAAAGCATCGTAAGCGGTCAAGATACAAAGCGAGAGGGCAACCTTGTAAAACTATTCGTCATTACAACAACAATCTTAATTGTTTTTTTGTTTACCGTTTTCTATTTCAAACTATCAAAAAAGAACTAAATTTCAGTGGGCCGTTGTTTTCATTCATATTTACGTCTTTATTGGTTGCATGATTGGCTTGACGCTGTTTGTGGGTGTTGTGATTGCCAACTACACTGAAAACCGGGTAGGTTTCTCTCGCAATGTAATCTGATTCACTTGAGTCCTTACTAATTTTGAAGGGGACGGCGTTGTTGACCGTGGACCAGAGACGTTGGCACGATCTGAAGGCTCGTTTGAAAATGGCACAACCGCTTCACGTACCTCCAAAGCCATCGGAGTCGGCTAGGCTAGGAACCGTTTTTTATGAGCTCACACTGAGTCGTCGATTTAGTCAGGTAATCCTTATGTCCTTCGTTTTGATGTTGCTCTTCAAAATCATTCATACTGTTCAGGTCTTTGCATTCTTGGTGCTGCTCAACTCGGCCTGTTTGATTATTCCATGGAATGTTGAAGAGGAAGGTGAACGAAGCAGCATACTCTTCTTTGTCACAGCTCTCAGCGCTGTCATCAATATTCTCTTCACTGTGGAAGTGAGTCTACAAATTTTATTACTGAAGCGAAGGCCCAGTACACCATGAAATGGTCGCGTCGATATCCCCTAAGATGAATCTGTGGACTTCAAGTTTGCCCAATGCGACGCTGTTAGACCGAAAAACGGGCTGGATGGGGCATAATAAGGCTCAAAGACTGGGTCCATTGTAAGCCACGCCCAAAAAAGGCCGTGTTTCCACGGCATCAAGGAGATGTACCGTTTACAAGGATCCGAACTTTTCAAAATTCAAACAACTCGTCGTGACCCAGAGCGACACATCTCGTACAACACCCTTTGCACTTTCTTGCACCGTAGCTAGCATCATATCACTTGAATTGGGTATCTTAGAAGGACCGTGAATTGGGCCTTCAATCCTCGAAGTAATCTATACCGAATGCTCTGGCAAGTACGACTGTTAGTGGGTCTCTTATCTACCTTGGCACCAGAACAAAGAGGACGCTCTCCCGCTGTGTTTGTAGCCAGTAATTTCGGGAGAATCGAGACACTTCACAACTTGATCGACATGAAAGAGCTTTCAGATAATCCTGAAGGTGCTGGCATTTACATTCGCTGGATTCTGGCAGTCTCGTCGTAATCGGATTGATCTGCTCATTACTGTATTTGGATTACTGTGGATCTTTCTGCATTTTTTCGTTGCCGTACCTTCTAGTTCTTTTGATCCTGCACCTCAAAAAAAGTTGAAGACCTTCACCTATACCTTCGGATACATCATTGTGATTTTGCGGTTTTTCACAATTGCAAGTAAGTTCACTAACCATTCTATTAGGGGAGTTAGGTACACACCTGCAGCCGTCATTGAGCCTCTATTGAGCTAATTTCAGGTAGAAACTCGACCTTGAAAATGTTAATGCTTACTGTTGTTATGGGTATGTTTCGATCATTCTTCATCATCACCGCAATGTTTTTGTTGGTCCTCTTTTACGCTTATACTGGAGTTATACTCTTTGGGATGGTGAAGTACGGTCAAGCCGTCAGCAAGTACGTTTTACTTTATTTATTACTTATCATTTTTATTTTTATTTCATTATTTCGTTTTTATTATTTGTTATTTTTGTTTTTATTATATTATTTTGTTTTTTATTTTAATTTTATTTTCCGCTTTATTTTTCGGAGCTAATCAGTTTTAATGCATTTGAACAACCGGAGATGTCTCTTCTGTTTTCCTCCTTCAGTGGGTACATCAAAAATTACATACATATTACTTATTATGAGAACCAAGGGCAGAGGTGGTGTAGTGGCAAGTGACGCACTATCTCACACGCATAGTTGCGGGTTCGAATCCCGGATCGATATCCACCTCAACCAACCAAGCCTCCCATCCCTCCGAGGTCTGTTAATTGAAACCGGCCTCGTGTGGGAGGATAAAAACATTGATTTGTACTTGGGCTGGCCACCGCAAGTCATTGGATAGACCATATACGCATTCGGCAGCGGTTCTGAAAGGAAGTCAAATGTGGGGGCGCGTCTCTCTAACGGGATTGCGCCAAGACTTTATCCTTTATCCTTAGGACGTCATACTGGCTCCGAATCGTTCACCTTAGGCGTGGCCGTGAATCTCCGGGTGCTTCTCCAAATGGTACCGACTATCTCTTTCCTTGAACAGAAGGAAAGAAAGGTAGAATGACAAAGCATTTCATCTATGAGTAATAATTGCTCATACACTCCGTTGCCAGCTCTTACAATGTATTCGAGAGTGTCTTCTGTGATACCTTATTATTGTGTCACACTCATAAAGGGCAACATATTTATTAGAGATGTTGTTTTTAATAGGATTTATGTAATGTATAGAAGCGGGGACATTGAAAGCTGTTAGTGTTCATTGGAAAGCTTGGAAATTCATTTGAAAGACACCGTAAAATCTGTGACAATATCACTGAGAATATCTAAAAGCTAGAGGATGCTGCTGCTGGTCAGTACAGTTGTTCAGCTGGCGGTAACGTTTCGTATCACCATCATTGGCTATGAGCACTGCTAGCATCAGTTCCCTAAAATACGGGATATTCACACTGATTTGAATTGATGTTTGTTAACTGCTGTTAGATCGCCTCAGTAAGCGTTCCGAAAGTCTCACAAGGTTGGCGAATCATGGACCAAGCTTTAGTCTCGGGCGGGACTCGAACTCGTACTTGTGCTTTCCGGGCATCGTGCTCTATCCCTTGCACTACCGAGACCCCGCCTGCGCTGTTAATGGCTTATATGCCATAGCTTATCAGTGCTCCCACGTACAACGTGTTGAGCCGGTCGGCAAAAATCAGCACGGAACCGTCAAGCTGGAAGCTTTACCAGCCAGAAAGCACAAGTGCGGGTTCGAGTCCCGTCCGAGACTGAAGCTCTCTCCATGAATCGCCAGCCTTGTGAGACCTTACAATGAGTTTAATGGAAACATTAATCGCTAAAACGAACTTTCTGGTGCTCTTCTTGTCTGCTCAGCAAAGCATACATCTACCGCTATGGATATTAATGTTGGTGAACGACCCAGCAGTTGAGAGAGGACGGGACACCAT